ACTATGTAGTTCAATGAATTGGTTATTCATTAATATCTAAATTTAGCATTTAGTTGTTAAGAACTTATTGAGTCAAGTGAATTGAATCATTACATTTAGTCAAATTTTCCACTTCAAGTTTTTAGTGATGAATAATTTTATATTTTGATCAATCTCTGAAAATGTTATTTGAGTACACTGCTAATTTGAATTTTTTTGTTATTCCTTGCTAAGAAAAATAAAACAAAAATGCACTTTTTGGCACGTTCTAGTTTTGGAACTTTATCGAAAAGTATTATACTTTAAAAGTATATTAACTACATTAAACAATAATTTTGATTCCGAATATAACCACATAAATGTTCGTTGATAATTAGCAATGCGCTTCGTGAAAACAAACATTTAAAATAATTATTGATTTTATTCAAATAAAGTTCTAGATAAATATAGATTCACCCAGAAATAGAATACCGGCTATTGACTATATGAAATTTTGTTACTAATGCAAAGTTAAGCTACACAATATTCAATACTTATGATTATTAATAATAATGGCATATGCCTTATCGATCGATCGATCGCGATCGACCGTTTGGCCGCCCCTGACATAAAGTCTTTGTAGAACTGTTCGACAAACATTTTAGCATTATAAAATATTTATCGTCATGAACAGTAAAAATGTATGATGTTTGTGAATTGATTAATTACAATTTGTCGATAAAATCTTATGTAATTCTATTATATTGTGAAATTTAAACATCTGATGAACAACAGGAAAAGTAAAATATGTTTGAATGAAAAGTTTTAAATGTTATGTCGTAGTCGAATTCACTTCTACGTGTTTGTAACTACATTAAGAATAATGCGTGTAGACGTCATACGAACTACGTATTCTCGTATACTATTTAAATCAGTGGTGTAGTAGACCTAACAAAACTTTTTTATTTTTTCAAAAATCACCGTGTTGGATAAACATTGTATTTTAATATACTATAGCTTGACACATTTAACGTATTTTAACTACGTATCTTACGTAATTACGTTAACTTCGTACAACACGAAGATCGAGTAAACGCCGGGGGTCGGAGATATCACATCGTTTCGGGAGCTGAGCTTTCACTACCCTTATCCGCTCCTAGACGCGTATGCGTACTTATAACAAACGATGCGATATTATGAACGGTCTGCTCAATGCTATGAGCATCACTCTTCTTCGGCCGTACCCGTCATCCTTACATCGTTCTGTGCCGTAATAAAATGCCTCCGATTTGGGCATACGCGTATAACGTCCGCGGGGAAGTGCTTGGGAATTAAAACCCGTTCGCGGGCGGTTTCGCGATCAAATCCGAATACGCGATCGTCTCGTCCGCGAGCGGGTGACAAACGATGAATAACATTACGATGAAATGAACACGTACACAGTACAGTTGTAAAACATCTTCAGTTGCGATTATTATTACTGTGCATTTGTTAGGCTGATTATACTTTGTGTACGAAAATATTGTGTTGTGTACTGCTGGCGCAACGTGACTATAACGTAACAGGAATAACTTTGTACAACTAGTGTCATAATCTAACGCGCATACACACATACAAATATACAGGCATATGTGCGGGCACGTGTACGCGAGAGTGTTTGTATGTGTGCGCGTGTAGAGTTTCCGTCTGTCACCCACTGCCGTTTGATTTTTACTTATGGAAATTAGAACCGTTCTATAGTCCTAACCATGGCAGGTGTTTTATAATGGAAATGGTATACAACAAAAAGATATTAGCAAAACGCAATTGAACTACACGCGTAAGTAGTATAAATTTATACTACTCGCGTATTATTCCTGATTGGTTTATTGTTTTTCGTTGAATATCCGACCCTCTCTTAATACGAAATAATATTAAAACGCTGTCATATACATCCCAGGTTACGCGAACACGAGCGTATGCTGCGGTATAGTGAACAACTAAGTGTAGAGACGTGGAATTTACTGGTTAATTTTGATAAGTATTGGTGTTTATAGTTAGCCATTATAGCACCCTAAATAAATGTAATCTCACTCGTGGAAACATTTAAAGTGTGGAGTTAACTTGATTTCGACAACGGTAAATTTACCAAACTCACATCTTTAACCACACCTTATTGTTAGGTTACTAAGGAACTTTGACCTGTACAGTTTTGTTCTATCTTCAAAATTGACTGATTGAGGGTGAGTTAAATTTTCGATTTATAACATTTGTATTTGTCGTATTTTTCAATAGTCTACTTAAAGTTTTACAAATTTATAAGTGATTTCGTATGAATTTTTGTTAAAAATTAAGTGTTACTGTCATAAATACAAGTAATTGACATTATTTCTACAGAAATTTTAACACAAATTTCTTGTAAATGGTATAATTTTGGTTAATTAAAACTAACACATATTCTAGTATTTTAATTCAGTTTTAAAAAAAAATTTGATTTTATTGAACAATTAAATTATGAAATTATGTACTGGTGAGTTTTGATCAAATTTTACAATTTATCGTATAAATTGCTCGAAATTATTACCATTATTTGCAACGCATGTTTCACACCGTCGCAATACTTCCCTGTGTATTCGTTCCTCAGTTAACTAAGCACACGCAATAATTATTTTATTTTTTAAATCTTGAAGATCTTTTAGTGGGTTAGAATAAACAACCGTTTTCAGATGTCCCCTTAAAAAAAAAATTCAAAGGTGTCGAATCTGGTAATATTGGCGGCCATTGTACTGGCCCACGAGTGTACATCTATGATTAAAAGTTCTCTCTAAATATTCGTGAACAATTAATGCCTTATGCGCAGGTGAATTAAAATTTCTGTAGAAGTAATGTAAATTACTTGTACTTGTGATAGTACACTTAATTTTTAAGAAAAATTCATACAAAATCACTTATAAATTTGTAAAAAGTAGACTATTGAAAAATACGATAAATACAAATGTTATAAAACAAAAATTTAACTCACTCTCAATCAGTCAATTTTGAAGATTGAGCAAAACTTTTAAGGCTAAAGTTGCTTGATAAAATTCACCTAATTCAAATTTGAACTCAAAAGTGGAGGGTTCTATTAAAAAAAATAAATATTTTGTTGCACATGCGTAGAATATTTTTTTTTAAAAATTCAGATTTATCAAAAATAAACGTAATTTTATGTTCTTTATGCATTATAAAAAACCCGAATTGCAAACAAGGTCATTCATTCAAAATATTTAATGTTACCTTTATCGTTGAACACACTGTATACATATAAAATGTTATACATGCACATGATAAGAGTTGTAAGTTTACAATTAGTCCACGTGATTTAAAAGCAATCAAAATCCCTCTTTTTCGAGTTCTATACATTTTCAATAACAAACGTTTTCCTTTCTACTTAATTAGAAATACATTTAAAATCTGCACGTACTAATAATAGAATAAGCGAAAAAAAAATCACAACTTGGATTGGGGGAGAGGAGGATCAATTGGCACGTACTCGAGGCTGTCCCACCGATATTAATTTGAAAAGACTAAGTTAGACAACTTATCACGCATTCAATTGACGGCATCCCTTCGCCGAACAATACCATAAATAATTGCTTACAGGATAAAAGTTGACAGTGTTATAAATATTTCAAAGAACATCATAATATATATATATATATATATATATATATATATATATATATATATAGAAGAAAATAAGTTTTTCGTAAATTTTGTAGTGCAAATAGATAAAGACAGAATTTATTAAAAACTTTTATCATTATTGTTTTTATAACTCACCTAAATTAGTGATAGCTAAGATAATTATTTTAATTTTAATAAATTTCACCGAAAACGTTACATGACTAAAAACACATTTTCTTCTCGCAACTATTTTATCCCTTAATTAGAGTTTGTTTTAAAATATAAAAATATAAATTTATGATAATTTGTTACATCTGTTCTCTAGGGTATTAGAAAAAATTTATATTACTGCAACTTTTATATATTATCTTTTAAATATAAAGTTAAAGTAAATTAATATATGTATATATACCTACATAAAATTTTTTTAATCTAACACAGTTATATTATCAAAACAGTATATTTTTAATAATCATCAAACATAAATAAAATTATAATATTGTTACAAAATGATAATATTTAATGAATAATTTCAAGCAAAAAAAAAAAAGAAATTCATGGAACTAAATCACATTATGTCTATACCAAGACAAATTATCTGTTTGGAAAATGTCAACAAATAAAATACTAAATTATGCAATTATGTATTAATTATTGTTTACATTAAATTCTATAAAACGATCATTGTTTTTATCGGACAAGTATAATTTCTCCGAAGTTATCGCCAACGATGAGTCATAATAACAGTCATCAAGCACAACGTGTTTTACGGACAGCATACAAATATTTTATTGTGCTCGTACAGTACTATACGAGGTATAGAATTTATTTTTTTTGGTTTTTCGTGATTATGAAAAATAATTTTGTCGTCGAGCGTGCAGCTGTGCACACAGACCGGATCAATAGTACAAGCTAAACATTGCAAAACTGAGAAGAAAAAAAAATTGGCAAACATTAATTATACGTAGCGCGTATAAAATAATTGTTAACTGAAAAAATAATATAATATTAAACATATAAAATAGAAAACGGGTTATGACATTATGTGGTCGTATTATCGTAACGTGGGGGAGGATGGAATTTTTTTTTTTTTTATTTAATTTTTCTGTCGAACGATGTATAAACTATGTCCTGGTAATCGTGACGTGGAAGCCGCGCGGTACATCGGCATTACAATGCTCGGTCCGTCCGCAATAATCGTAAACACGTCCGTCCCGCTGCACGGTCGCGATAATGTTTTCGCGCGTCCGGTGTCCAGGGGCGAGCGATAGGACACGTGGGTAATGTTGTCGCCGCGCGCTCGGTCGCAGGGCCAAAAGCTACGTTTTGCGCAATAACATTGCAACATGAGTACTACATCGTCCATGTTTGCGGGTTTTTGTTGTTTTTGTGCGCAGACGAAAAAGAGTTAATTATCGGCGAGTTGGCCAACATAATCAAGGACCAGAGCTACAGGATGCGGAACAATCTCCGGGACCACGAAGACGTGTACCCGGCGATGCCCCGGAATCGGTTGGCGGCCGACGGCGAACGGCCGTTCACGTACGACCTGGCGTCGGATTTGCCCCAGGTAAACACGGGCGACCAGGAAGTACCGTTCGCCGTGTTGCCCAACGACCGCCGTTACTATCAATCAGGTACACCGCAGTCGGTGGTCCGCTCGTATACCTTTTTCCCCGTTTTTCCGTCCCGATTTTTTTAATTTTTTTTTTTTACCCCGTAGTTTTTTCGTTTTGTTTAGTTTATTATTATTTTTTTAATCTTTTTATTTTGCATGAGCTTACCGTGATAAATACACACATACAATATCGCATGACGTTTCGCACATGATAAGCGCTAAGGCGTTGTCCTGCTACACCACGAATTCGTCGTCGGACGTTTAGAAACCGGTTTGCTACGATTTTTCTTCTCGTCGGCGTGATTTTGCATGTATTTATTTATGCATATAATTGTATAAGTGTAAAAATTGAATCTTCGTCACGCTCTGAAACTGTTTAAACTACTAGCAGGTTTTAAGTTTAATTTTATTCTAAAGATCAATTGAACAATTATTTAAGTATTTATAATTGTTTACTTTTCACTACCCCACGGCGTAGTGTGTAAAAAAAACACATACGCCCGGGTTTTACATTAGAACTATCGATTTGACCACCATTGGGTAGCTATATTAAAAGCTAAAAAGCTAACAAGTTTTCTGCCGGAGAAACTTGCTGCCGGTCCTAAGTCTAGGTTAAAATGAGAAGAAAAACGATGATTTAAGTTTTTTTTATTTTACCTATATTAATCTAACCCAATATAAAAATCAGAATTTATTCACGGGTGAAACCGGATAATTCAACAAGTATTACATAAATAATAGAACATTATCGCTGTTGACCGTCATATTTAGATGCGTGCCAGAATACGTTCAGCGGCGAGTGTACGAAGAGTCAATCTTTCATAATATAATCATAGGCGCAACTAGGATTAACATTTTAAAGGAGGAGGGGCTATAAACACCAAGATAACATATACTCATAGCGGCTATAACCCCATTCCCCATCTACTACTATAGGTCGATTTTAAACTTTGGTCAAAAGATGAAGATAACAAGATGAAAAAATGTGATTTTATGAATCAAATTTTGATTTTGGTTATTCCTAAATAAAGCGAAAGCCATAATTCACTGAATAATCAGAATTGTTAAACTTAATAATTATTTCATGTATTAAGATTATAGACATAGATTTTATCTCAATATCAAACACAACATTCTGAGATTCATTATTTTTAATCTGGAAGGGCTATGAAAATATTTAGAATGGTTAAGCCCTGTCCCCCCCTCTAATTGCGTTTATTAATACAACATCGATTTTGAAATTCGCGAATGATCGTACCGATTACTGGAAGTCATTAAACAATATTAGTCGTAAAATAACGATACCGAATCGGTTCGCGATCGGACTAAGTTGTGGGTGTGCTACGTGAAGTCGGGCACATTCGATATACGATGACTTCTAGCGGTTGGGTTCGACTTATTGACAATCTCCAAATCGGTGTTAGTAATCATTTAAAATTTGAAATGAGATGTCGACATCATTCTCGTTTCTATCGGACCCAGTCGAATTGTGGTCAATTTCACGGTTATGCATTATCGGTGCAACGAACGTACATTCGGTGGTCGAGAAGCAGTGCGACGTTATCATACTACGTAAATTAGATTGCATGGATATTTATCGTGTACCTATTGTATGCATGATGCTTTTATCGGTTTTGGCGTAAACATTATTGTTGCTGATTATCGATACAGTCATTATTGTACTATCGTTGTCGTTCTCACGATGCGCTTGCGTTGATGTTGTTTCGCAGATTTCTCTCAAGTTGATCTGGAGAGACCGCAAGGGCAAGCGATGCAGAAATTCCTCAAAAAAGAACAGTCCAAGAGCAGCGAGGTAAATGACAAAATCGCGTACGGATCGGATGGTTACGTCGAATCGAAGGTGACCACCGAGAACACGAGCAGCAGCGAAGTGGCCATGGACATACCGCAAAGCACGTACATGCACTTGCCGTTTTCCACCCATACCAAGTTCAGCCAAGAAGATTACTATTTCTTCGGTATGTATTCTATAAGGTACATACATATATACATTACGTGCAAAAGTTGTGCTTCATCCGTGTGTTGACGTTGGAATTCAATTGGTCGGAAAGGAATAATTATAAAACGCTGCACGAGAACAAATTGGTTTACGTTGGATTTAATACGTTATCATTAGTTAAAGTCATGTATTCATTTTTATTACTACATTTATATGGTATCTTAAACTACTTTCGACCAATTTCTAAGTAAGTAGTTAGAATTTAGAACTATTAAAAGTGTTACAATTTCTAATCTAAAATAATTAAAGTAACATGAATCATAAAAAAATAAAATTTTGTCTACTGTATGAAAAGTATAAAATTTCATCAAATAACCTATTGTCCATAAATAAAAACATACGTTTTTGCATAGATTGCATGTAGGTATAGTGAGGCTACCGTAACAAAATATTCAGCCAACAAAATGTGTGGTCTAACTTGTATCCGTAATTAAACAATGTTTTCCACCCGTAACCATAAGTGACCCGACCGGATTTTGGATATTTTAATTTTTCAGTAAACTTTAATTAAAAGTTTTCCCGGAGTACGTTGTTGTAGCGAAGTTTATCATACAGTGCATAGTTCACTTATGGAACATAGAGCTGGTGGTATTTAAATCGAAAACTCTGATAGTAAGGTAAAGTAAATAGTAAACTATTCTTTATAGTGTATCATATACATATTTTGGTTTTGTGGTGTAATCATTGGACCGTTGTATACTATTAATATATATATACTAGCCGACCCGTCACAGCTTCGCTCGTGATTGGTTGTTTATTTTGCCTTCGGACCATGATATGTAGAATTTTTTATTCAAGTATTATTGTTTAATGTGATCGGCAAGTAAATATAAAAAAACGGTTAATGAAAACGGATTGAAATTTTTCAAGCGTTATAAATGATAAAAATAAATACAGATAAAAAAGAAATAATTTGTGGTTGATAAAGAATTTGATTGAAATTGATGAAGAAAAAAAAAAAGAATTAAAATAAGAATTTTATAAGACTTCTGAGTATATGATGTTTTTTGTTGTATTTCCTGTTGAAATTAAAATCATAAGATGATTCGGGTCCCCAGTTCGAGAAAATGCTACGTATAATTGCCTATGTGAAAAGCACTCCGTACGAAGATCTACGCCAACGTACTTGAATGTTTGACCTTGCGCTTTGTTTATGGTAATGGCAAAAAAAACTTTAACCGGAAATTGAAACCGTTTGAAAGAAAACGGCAAATCAGAGGGAATCATGGGAATTCTCGGAATAAATGCAAATTCTCCTTTCGCTGGGCCTGTAAGAATTACGGCTTCTATAATATTATTTCGCAACGATTTTATTTGTAATCTTGTACCGTTACATAAGTTCGGTGGTTGAAGATTACGTAATAATGTAATTGGAGCACCAATTTTTAATTTTAGCTTATGAGGAGGAAATCCCGAAGGAGAAGGAGAATTGCGAAATTCTTGTTGATAATGAATAGTATCATCTGTTGATGTAACTGTATCAATAGATAGATATTCACGTGAGTGTCCATCGAACTTTAGAAGGATGATATCATTAATTTCTCCTGCTGTTACATTTCTCGGAGAGATAATAGCTTTTTCACATAACCACTGATAAGATTTATTGGACAGATTAAAAATGTCAGGATAAACTATAGAAATCAATTCTTCCACGTTATTGACCACCCGTCCAATCGTGTGATTGACAGAAATGTGACCATTTTCATATTCTAAAGTTCCATTTCCAATTTTCAACAACTGTGCTGGAAAAATATCGTCCCCTCCGCATAAATAGACTCTCATGTTTATTTGCAAAAAAAGTTTTTCAATATAGTTCCATATAGGGGAAGATTTTAAGCAAGCATTAACGACATCAGCTCGAGTACCTTTAGGGATTACTGGTAAGGTTTGACGGAAATCACCAGCGAAAACAAATGTTATGCCACTCATTAACTTATTATTACACCTAAGATCTTTTAATGTTCGATAAATTGCTTCGATATGAGATCTGTGACTCATGTACACTCATCCCATCACAACGAATGAGGTTTCTTGAAGAATTTTTCCAAGAGGGCCATTTTTACGAATCGGACAAACGTATTCTGCATCAAATAATACATTTAACGGTAACTTGAAAGTCGAGTGAGCAGTTCTGCCGCCACTAAGGAGAGTTGCTGCTATACCAGATGAAGCTACTGCTAATGCAACTTTACCTGAGGATCTAATTTGAGCCAACAATAAATTAATTAGGAATGTTTTTCCTGTACCACCCGGAGCATCTAAAAAAAAAAAAACTCCCCTTGATGATTCATTACGCTTTTTGTAATAACATTAAAAGCATATTTTTGATCATTTACTAATTTTGGTAAATTGATTTCTACAAATTCTTGTAATCGGTTATTATCGTAAGAACGCAAAATTGAGAATTCAAAAGGATCAGATGCATTTTCATTTCGAACAGGTGAGTTCGTTCCAAATTCAGTTAAATATTTTTCAGACAGACAAACAACTTTATCTTCTATTTCAATCAAACCTCTATTAAATATTTCATCAGAAAAAGTAAATTGCAAGTCATTTAATCGAGTGCGCTCTGTATGAAGAATACCTTCACAAAAATCATTTCTGAACTGTTCCCACAAAGATTGAGGTTCAGACGGTTGGCAGAAAACTATGATTATTGCGAATAATTTTCTTAATTTTGAAGGACTTTCTGAAAGAGTTGCCTCCGCTAGAGGATTTTTCCATTGCTCGTCATTTTCTAAAAGCCCAAGAGCAAAACAGGTAGCTTTAAAAGTCGCGTGAATGACTCCATCAAAGGCCTTCAAGCTTTCAAATGAAGTAGGACCTTGTACATAATTTAGTAACAATCTTAAATGGAAGCACTCACTTTGATTTGGGTGAATCGTGTAAATTCTACCAATGGCAGTGTCCATTTTTATTCCTGGCCAACCTGGAACATCTTTTCCCCGTTTTCTCTTTAACCAGCCTCTGCTATCATCCCAGGTATAATAAGAAGGAACTTCATGATAGAACAGTGTTTTCGCAAAATCATCATGTGAACACAGTTCAAAAAATGCAGTTAGTGTCGTTTTTCTTGGATTTTCAATAACTTGATGAAGATTATTAGCATAAAAGAAAACACGCTGTCCATTTTCTAGATGAACAGCCAAGTGCTGAACTGTCAGATCTCTATCATGGATTTCAAAATTGAAAATTCTCCAAAACGCTTCAGAAATACATATGTATCGACCATTCAAATAATTTGTAATCTCATCGTTTTCACGATTAACAGAAAGAGTAGCTCTATCTGATCCTTTATTAATATATTTACATATGTATTTTATCGCTTTAACCGAATGACAGTATTCTACGTTAATATGCGCATTAAAGCACCTAGATAGCACTAGACAATACGGTACAACCCAACGGTTGTCAACCACGATTTCTGTTTGACCACGAACTTTTAATATTGCAGTATAACCTCCATCATCTGGTGATCTCCGTCGGTAAGTCGGATAACCATCATCTCCAGTTTGAGTATCCTTGACCAATTTGTGAGGGTATTTCTTACTACATTTTCCATTATTCATACATGGCGATCTAATATTTAACTCGCCGCATGGGCCATGAATCATATTCTTGCATACTATTTCATAAAGTATAGGATCTCTGTCTTTGTTTGGTATCTCGGCAGAAATAATTTTTTCAATTTCATCTGGCTGAATTTTCGTTTGTAACCACAAAAGAATGTGGAAGTGTAGCAAACCTCGTTTTTGCCATTCAACACTGTAAACATAACAATTTACATCTCCGAAAATATATTTATTTTTTAATAATATTTTTTAATACACGCATAAACTTTTTTAGTTTGGTATAGATACATATATATAGGTATATACAATATAGGTACAATTATTTTTAATTTTTTATGAACTTTTATAAACTTTTTTACTGACAAAAGTGGTACTAAACCCTTCAGCAGAGTGTCGGGTTTCAGCCAAAAAAAAATTTCAGCCAAATCGGTTCAGTAATTTTCTCGGTTAGCGCGGTCGAAGAAAAACCGTTACAATTTTATACATAGTATATATATATATATATATATATATATATTTATTATTTTTATCGATATTCGGCAGCAGTTTTATATTTGGTGTGGCTAGGTTCGCATGGAAATGTTGGATACTTGTACTTACCGAGATAAAAACGGTACCTACATTAAACGTCATACCCAGTCGGAGTCGGCAAACCAACAATATAGGTTCATATTATCATTTTTGTACTCAAATAATATGTTATACTTAGTGTACATTTTACCATCGTAATACTTAACATATAAATTAATATTGATTTTAAATTTAATGTCGAGAGGGACTTATCAAGTAGATAGGTATTGATTATTTTTGTTGAGATATCAGATATCAAGTGCAAATCTGTCCGCGTTCTACTAATATCCCAAAATAGTATTGATTTGGAATTAATTGGGTTGTATAAACATTGTAAACCTTAATTTTGTTTTATTTCTGAAAACAATTGTTACATACGCTATTTGCTATTTTTTATGTACGTTTAAAGAATACAGCTACTGGAATATTTTTAAATAATCTTTTTTATTACTTTCGAGAACAAGCAGTAAACAAACTTAATATACTTTTGGACCTATACAGAAAATGTATGGAGCTCTAGCTTTAATTGTCATAATAGTATACAATGTTTGAAAGTTAAACCGCGCTTCAAGCGTTGACAATTTTATTTTAATTCTTAATTAGCTTTTATTTCTTCCCTTGTAATAGATACAATAATGATAAATAATAATAATATTAAATTGTTAATGCACGTTGCTGTATAAGTATTCAATTTAATCAACAGTAATCTATTCAACGATGAGCAATTATTATAATAATAAATATCTTCCGTTTTATAAACAACTATAATACATTACAGTCCTGAAATTATTTAAAAATATGGAATTTTATTTTTATT